TATGATTTTTCTCTTTATGACAGACTGCCGAGTCCCCTGGGACTGAATGTCAGACGCATGACTACATCTGCCGCTTTGTAGGGCTGCTGTGAACATCTAAATAATACTGTCAGCATAACAGAGAGATCTGTCCATCAGCCTGCACAGTCTCCTCTCCCCTCTGGTGCCCACTCTGCCACAGAAATGCGCCTTTCGTCATCGGTTACAGGACTTCCTCTCCTGATGTTTCATACAATAATTTAGTTGGAATCTTGGAATTTCACTAAAAGAACACAGCCTCATTAATGAAGAGGTAGTGGCTCCCTCTTCAGCTTACTCATTACAAAATGTGGAACCAAGTGTCTGGGATGCCATTAACCCCACCATTTTAGGATATGTTTCACCAGCTCCCTAAGGTTGGGATCACATTGATTGCATTCGTGTTCCAGCTCATAACTGCTATGTTCTTCCATCATAAGAACATAAAGAGCAAACTTTAATAGATCACAGAATAATAATTCTGTTACCGCCCCTCTAACACTACTGCACACTTTATTTCAGAGCATTTGAAGCACAACCTGCCATTTGAGTGGAGGGATATTTTATCCTAATTTCTTCTACAAAGACTATTCTTTCTTCACCAAGGACTGCTCTTCCATTAAATTATTGCTGTTTACTCTCCAACTGGATGAATTGCAGCCTCAGAGGGATGTGAAAGTCCATGTCATGATATTTACAGCAGTGGTTGCAGCACAGGAGGCACAAAGAATCTTGAAACAGATCACACATTCTAAAATACAGCCAACAAAAAAGGCAATAGCAGACAAAATTAACCCTTTTCTGGAAAGGCCTATTATTTAGCAGAAAGCGGAGAAGTTATTTTAAAAATGTATAAAAACTGAACACACTGAAAGGGGGCTCAGGGTGATCAGACAGGGACTTGTCTCCTCATGTGTGACTTCTGCTTCCATGAGCAAAACACGCTTATGACTAAGCGGTCAGACTGGGCGCTTTGGTTTTGGGGTTTTTTTTTGTTGTAACATTAATTACACCGTGCCCTCTCTGTTACCACTGCTCACAGGGAAAATGCAGCCCTAAGTAGCTAGCTAGCAAAGAAGAAAGTCCAAAGGAGACAGAGACAAGTATCAAGGGAGTACCTGCTCAACAGTAATCACAAAGCCCAATTTCTTCTTGTAAACGTTGCTGCACCACTGCCACCCACACTGAGCACTCCTGTGGTGTGGGTCACGACACAGCAGTACCAAAGCCAGAATTTGTGGAATTATCTCACTGAAGGAGGTTTTAAATCCTCCATGGAAGAAAATAACATAGCTCTGAGCAGAAGCCAGGATTCAAACTATCAAAGTGTAAGCAAAAGGCATTTGCACTATTTGAAGCACCCACATGTCTAAACCCTTCCCCTTCAAAACGCCATACCAGAAAATGTTTACTTGAAAGGTCCATGTCTTTCTCTTCCAAACATACAAAAATATTTAAAGTCTCCCAGTTATCTGTCACATTAACAGAAAAATCACCAATTAGATTTGCTATCAGCCACTGCACTATTGTAGGCATGCACAGACCAGGTAAGAAATAACTGCTTACAGTCAAGGGGACCCAAATTCCCCTTTGAAGGCTGCTGTAAAGATGGACTTCAATGAAGCTAATAAGCTTTTAAAATAAGCAGTTCTCCCTATACATCCCCCAGTATCTTTCTTTTAGAAGACTTACTGGTTTATACAGGTTGAGAAAATGACTAAAAGCAAGACCAAAAAGGAATACTATGCTTTACAAAGGTTTGGGGGAGGCAGACTATAGAAGTGTCATACTTGTAATGATTTTTTTTTTTTTTTTAAACTACTTCAAGGAGACTTCAATAACATTTCTGGGTATAGTTTTTTTTTAAATAGACATTTGGAGGCTCTTCAAGGCATTCTGTCCTTTGTCCTGTGTTTGCAGCACAGTCAAGACATGCATATGTTTTATAGCAACTCTGCTTCTGCATGGTGAGTATTGCTTGATTATTTAAGTTGTAGCATTGCGTGAGCTGCATGTGGCACACTAAGCATGCTTTTAAAGGATAACTATTCTCTTTTTTTTTAAAAAAAAAAAAAAAAAAAAAAAAAAGGAAGATCAAAGTCTTAGTGGGTAGGAACCTGATAAGAGCCTTCTCTATAAATACCGGTTTTAATCATATGGGTAAGAATACAACTTGCTTTCTTTTTCAGTGCTGAAAACACTATAGACTCCCAAACCTGGAAAAGCTCAACTTTGTCATAGTGATTTAGTTCCATTATGCATTTCAATCATTCAAAGACTGTCTTAATATCATGAAATTCAGCACTACACAGCACAGCTATCATACTCAGGTTGAAAAGCCAGCCTTTGGTGTGCTCAGTAAGTACATACACAGCTTTCAGCGTTGGAAGATGTTTTTCAGATATGAGATGTTATACAACATTTCTTAAATAACTACTCATTTTTTTCATTCAAAAGTAGGCTGTCTCCCATGATGATTAATCCTTGATTGAGGTGAAAAGTGCAAGGGTTTTTCTTATTAGGTGAGGATTTTCATTTTCAAGTGAAAGGTCATACAAACATGGAAAATATTACAACACTTGCAAATTTTAGAATTAGTATCAGAGGACAACCCTCAACCAACATAAAAATGTGTTTTCACCATGAGCTAGAAGTGAAGATATTTACACTTTTTCATGAGCTATTTATTACTTTAACTCATTAAGTTCAGAAATGTATGTATATTTGGAGACATCCCACACCTCCTTTTCCTTTATATCAAACATTTACTGCATGAACAAATGAAAACTGAACTTCTTCCAATTTACCCATGAAAAGTAAGTCAGTGCCATCACAGTCAAGACAACAGCCAAATTTTGCACTGACTTCAGTAGAAGAAAGCAAGAAAAGAGAATTCAAATAACTGAACCATACAAATGGATGCAGACTATATAAAGTAACAAGAAAAAACTAACTGCTTGCTAGTCCTACAAATCAGTTTGTATCATCAGCAAGACGACTGGAACACAACTTCAGCATTTGTGAAATGAATCATAAATCTAGCCTCTCTGTCTTAAAAATGTTTCTATTTAAAAGACGATGCAACAAAAAAAAAAAAAGCACACATTTATATATACAACCAGAAATAGTGACTTGAATATTCATACTGTTAAAGGCTTGCTTTTCAGTTTACCTTTCATATTGAGTTTGAGTTATTTCAGTCTAAAAGCCAATCATTCAAGCATCTGCCAATTAAGAAACTGATGATAAAGTTGTCCTAAATAAATTCTGCTTGAATGATAAGTTATTAGAAAATTGTACAATTAAGTCGACATATTTACAGAAATCTGTGTGATTTCTTTAAGGAATATAACACTGACAGCTTTGAACTAAAAGTGACAAGTGATCAGAGAAATCCTACAACAAAATGTTCTAAAAAGTCAACCTTCTAAAAGCACGTTTAAAATTAATTTCAGGAATAAAATGTATCTTAGTTCTTTAGTTCAAAATAATAGTAACATCACATCTCTGTTGTCCTTAAAATAAAATCAAGTAGTTTCCAGCATTGATAATTTTCTCACTGAATTCAATGAGTGTAGCACACTGCTTAGAGAGGCACATGATGTTCTCTACATATGCAATTATTTATTGTAACTTCTAGAATTTCTTTCCCCTTTTTTCCAGAGATTTCTGCCTAGAACGCAGAAAGCTTAAAAGGACATAAGGAGACAGAAGGCTGTTCAAACTCAATGCTTTGCTTTCGTGCACACTGGAGGAATCTGCTAGCAGTACACTTTTACTTCATCAATTCAGCAAGAAACACAATGTGATTCTTCAGATTGCTCTTCAGTCGACATTCAGAAGCACCAGCCTGACAATTAATACAGGCATGTGACACTGAACAAGTAGGGGGAAGGTAAAGGGAAAAATCTTTTCTTAAATCCTGCCATAAACTAGCAGAACTTAACAAGTTTGCTACAAGGCTTAATTGTAGAAGGGTAATTAGAAAATATAATACAGTATATATGGAAATACACTACATATACCACCTCTGTGGCCATGTAATGAAACATGTAAGACACCAAGCTCAAGTAAATACCTTAAAAATTAGAACGAATGCAGGCTGGTTTCGCCACACCTGCCATACCATACTTAAGAAAAATCAAGGAAATTCTTAACGTCTCAATGCATCAGTCATGGCCATCAAAAATGTCTATGTGGATGGAGTGCTGGACTGAAACTTAGAAGACTGTTTCATTTTCACTCTGATTAGCACAGAATTCCTTTCTTCACCTCTTTCACCCTGTGTATTAATGGGGGTATAATTATGCTGACCTCCTTTACAAAGCACCTGAAAAGCTACAGTTAAAAATGTTCTTAAACATGTAATTGTAAACAATAGCAATCATATATCAAACTTCAGTTATCAACGCATAACAGGAAAGCCACAATCTGATTGTTCCTGGAATCAGTACACAAAACTCAATTTTTCCACGACCATTAGCTTCCTAGTACTTTCATCATTATTACAATAGCTGCATGACACTAAGATGCACTGAAGAACCTGACTACCACTGACTGACATCTTGAAGATTTTCCAAGCTTCGAACAACAAAAGACCCAGGATTTTTTTTTTCACTGAAAATTTCCACATTAAACAAAGATACTTTTGACCAGCTTCAAGCTTAGATGCTACTCTGAATCTACAGCTTGAATTGCTGCAGTAGCTCCAGTCTAAAACAGGCTGCAGCACTCTGCAAATGTATTTTTGCTGTTATGTGCATCAAGCCCTCTCTCCTTACAGAGGCTGGTCAACAATGGCATCTCTTCATCATCATCACTTACACCACTAGTTTCTCTTCTTACCTCCACATCTATAGTTACTTTCCTCTTTTCAGCAGCACACAATGACCTTCAGTATGTTTGAGGTGCACCTTTTTCTTTCATCTTGTGCTACTTATAAATGAAAAAAATGTGAGAGGATATAAAATTAAGCTACTTACCAACTACTGCCAGATTATGCTCTGACCCACATGCGATCTGAAAAAGAAGTATGAATGAATAAAAAAGAACCCACTTACCAGTAGGAAGGCAACCACAATTATAACAGGAAATTAAAAATTAACCTGAAACAAACAATAACAGTTTGTAGGATGCAAATTCAAGGTTGAGGTGTTCTCACTTTTAAACAAAATTTTATTTGTAGCCTCACTTAGGGGCCTAGTGACAGGGGAGTACATTTGTTTGTTTTGTTCATAAACAAGCGTTTTCTTTTCAAAATGCAGTCACCAGTGACATGTCAATCCTTAGGAGCAAGACTGGCCACAATTCTGCAAAAGCATCACACCCTTGACAACATCCACAGGATTCAATAAAACTATTCACGGGCATAGAGAAATGCAGCCTTTGCAAGATCAGGGCTGTATAGATGCAGCTGGGAATCAAACGGGCGATGAAGATCTCCATTTCTCTTATCTATACTGTTTTTTCAGATGATCCCTGAAGACCTGCACAAAGTATACAGGCTCAGTATGATAAACCTGAAGTGATACGATCCCTATGGTCAATTGTCTAGAATGGAGAAAAAATACCCTAGGACTCAACTCTTCTATTAGCAGCAGGCTGGTTTAACTTTTAAAAGCTGCAGGGGAAAAAAAAAAAAAAAAAAAAAAAAAGAACCCAATGCAAACATTTTCTCTCAACCTCATTAGTGATGGAAGCCGTTATGAATTTCTTTTCAAAGCAAACTCATAGTCAGTGTATTTTTCTTTCTTTTTTGCAGCTGCTGTGAACATGTCAGATGTTTAAGTTGCTTTAGCATATATCACGTAGTATCACGCCCTAAGCTTTCATACATTCTTCACAAATAATGGTAACACAAGTACCAAGAGCAGCCCACTGCCCTACTGCAAGGGCTTCTCTCTCCCGTTGAATTCTTTTGCAAGGTCACTGCCGGCACAATCATCTGACATAAGACAGACATCACCTTACACAAGGTTACTCTGCAGAGTGTTTTAAATTAAATCTCAAGTTTTAAATTGAAGCAGAAGTAATCCCCTCAAAATCCTATATCTGGTTCATTCTCTTGCAGCTCCTTGGCCATTAGACGTACTAGTGAGCTGGTGAAAATTAATAAACACATTATTCTATGTCTTAAATGTATATTTGCAATGATAAAATATAAAGCAGAAGTATATGCTCAAATATATTTTTAAAATGTAAGTCCATACCATCAAAATTTTATATGGTTTTGTGCCTGCATAACTATATTTTTTATGGCCAGAGAAAGTGCTACAACCATGTCAATGTCTACAAAACATAAAACCATAGAAGTTAACAAAACAGTCCTTGTACTCAGCTCACTGTGCTTGAGCATTTACTGGAAAAGGTACCCAAGACTGACACACAGACTTGCCCCAGCAATTGTGTTACAGATAAACACTGCTACTCAGGATGTACCCACTCCACAGCTGTGACATGAAAACATTTAGTCAATGCCATCCTAACACAACAATGGCAAGTAAGACAAAATAATTCAAGTCACAGCCCACTCCAGCATGGCCTCCTCTTCAGAAAAATCAAAACAAAGCAGCAGGAAAAGCAATGCCTTTGCAAGAGCACTAGCAGGACTGCACCGTGTCTTTTCCACAATATTACAGACAGGCAAAGCCTTAAGCCCTGACTGATAAAATGCATAAATCATCGCCATATCCCGTATTATTATCCTCACTGCAAGTCAGAGCCCTACACGGAGCAGGGCTGGTTCCTAACGCCTATTCACTGGCTAATGCTCCGACCAATACTTCTCAAGCTTAAAGGTTGATGCCATGGAAACAAGATCCACACATGGAAACACACGTGAAGGCTTTCTAGCAAAAAAGCAAATTCTGCATCTTCACCAAGTGCTGAAAATTGGAGATACTGAAGCTGCTGCTAATAAAATAAATACATTTTATCTGAAGTGTGAATAATCCTATCACAGCTACTTCCATAGGAAATATGCTACCACAGGCACAGACTCAAAAGCATCGATACAAAAGAACTCCTCAGGCTGGTGGCTCCTATTTATTGCCAGGATCTCCTTCAGAAACACTACATTAAAAAAAAATCAACCACAAAAACACCTCACAAACCACCCAAACAAGGTGTTGTTTAGAATGTAAAACATCCCTTGACAAAGAAACATTTTCTTCCTGTATCTAACAGCCTACAGAGCTTGCAAACTAGATATAAGAACAGTGGTGACCTCAAACAGCTCTGTACTTTACTCATGCCGCTGTTACCTGCCCACCGTTCGGAGCCGGGCGCCAGGCAGCTGGTTGGGTTGTAAGGGCGTCAATCAAACCACACCGGGTACAACCAGACCAGGAATTGCTGGGTTATACAGACCCATCACTTCTGGGGAGCTGCCCCCACAAGGGCCAACACGCTGTGCAGATGCACTCACTGCAGCTCTGGAGCCCGATGGGGTAAGAGCTACGGCAAAGCACAGGTGACTAGTGCTGCTGCACCACGTTCAGGCAAAAGCCACCTCAGTGGAGGTGTCAGCTTTGTTCACAATGACTGAAATCAAGCAAAGTCACAAGCTGCTGAAGGCAGTGCCCTGGATTCACCTCCGATGGCCCGGATCAAGGACAGCGCACGCCACATACCAGCAGCAGCACTGTGCTCCGAGGAAGAAAATGCTAGATCGAGAGCGCAAGGTTCACCACCTCTGCCTTATTGCAGGGCATCACCACCAGACAACACAGACTGACTTTGTAGGAACCCTCAAATAAAACACGCCCTTGGGTGACTCTAAAGTTAGCTGTCTGAAACAACAGCCTTATTCACCATCCCTGCTGCCTGCTACAGGCTACACCATCCATCCACAAGATTCCTGCTGGCCTGCACACGTACGGCTCTGGAGCTCGGAAGGGACCAAGCCACAGAGGTGAAGCAAGGTTGCCACTGCTTAATGGGCAGGGCTGCCTTGCAGGTATTTCATAACATCTTTCTTACAATAAGCTTTAAATGCGACACCCCCTTTTCTTCATGACTCCCCACAACAGGCAACCATCAGCCAGGAACACATAACTTGCTGTACAAATACAGAGCAGGCAGAGAACAGCATTGCTGAACAGATGTTTTATGCTTACGTTAGATGTAATAAGCTCTGCAGTCAGTGCAGGTCACTGGGAGAAGCCTGGTATTTACTGCAGCAACCATCATTTTCTGGCTACTTCTCCTCTGTCCCCACCCCCAATGTGCTGCAGAGAAATTAAATTCCAACAGACATCTGCATGCTCCCAGTGGATAAGTACATTCCAGGGTACTTATAACCACACAATAATGTTTTCTAATTGGGCAATATTTTTACATTCTGTTTTAATTGAAAAAAAAAATTACTAATCTTAAAGACAAATCAGAGTGACTGCTAGTGAGCAAAGCATTCTGTGAGCCTAAGAAACATGACCCCCTACACAGAAACGATTCACATTAAAATTTGTTTTCTGTTTGGAAGAAAATTTGAGAAGAGTTTTGCAAGGATATTGTGATGTCTGTATAAATGATCTCAAATCACTTCGCAAATGTCTGTGAGGCAGGAGAAGAATGTTTAGGGACCATTTTATTCCGAATTTATTTACCTTCTTATCTGTGCCCTTTCAACCATAGGTAAATTGTTTGTTTCTTCCCTTAAACTGTATGTTAGCAAGCTGTTTTCTACCTAGCAATGGTTGCAGTTCAGATCCATCCATCCATCCAGATTTAACACAGGTGAATAGAAGCAGCCAAGGGACCAGCATTTTATTAATCATAAATAGTCAGGACATAAGCTGCATGGATGGTGAGGAACGACCTTAGCACAGCAACTGCTAACCCTGGGCAGAACACCAACATCTTTCTACAGCCTGCAGATGTTTATGGCCCAGCCCTAACAAAAAATTAATTGATTGAATTTAAAGCAGTGGGTTACATAAAATAAATAAAGTATTTCACTTAAGATAAAAATATTTTTATAGATTGAAACTACTATATGAAGTATAAAAATAATGTTTAATATATATTATATATACATTCCTATATATGTGTGTGTGTATAAGAAAATGTGTGCATACATAAATAAGTGTACACATATTAGGAAGAGCAAATTATCTACTCAAGGAGATGTTATCAGGGAAGAAGGTTCAGGAGACATGAGGATAAATACAGAGCACCTCCCTCTTATATTCAGGATAGAGATGCTTCTGAATAACAGCTACCCCTCCTTTTGCTCCCTCACAGTTCCTATGAGGTAGGAAAGTATTGTTCTCTCCTTTGTAGACAGTAAACAAACATAATATATATTATATTATATAATATATATACAATTATACAGGATAAAACTCACATGGATATTTAGACATACAATCTCCCATTGATTTCAAATGTTAATTAAGAGACAAAACACCTTTTGTCAACCATTCCCTAAGGGACTTCCAAGCACTAGAACAAAACAAGTCTGACAAAGTGTATAAAAATCTAAGTTTCAGTCTAGTACCTTGACCATAAGGCTACTCTTTCTTTTCCTTCTGTACTCCCAGGGCTCAGACTGAGGATCTGTTGAGCACCCATCAGGAAGATGGAGTCAGAACTGCAGGCAGTCAGCCCAGCGCTGCAGCAGAGGGGAAGGGACAGTACAGGGGGTTGCAAGGCAGAGGCACGGGGAGCTGGACTCACAAGGGGGATTGCAGAATGAAAATTCACAAGCATTTGAATATATATAGCTTAGCTAGAACAACAAAAGGACATTGATGCCATTTATTTTTTGTTCACTGCCTACAAGTGGACGTTAATTCCCTACAGTGCAATTATTCCCCCAAACATTCAAGGATATAGAGGCTTCCATCACTTCTCAGGGATAAGAACATGACATATAAAATAGATTTCCAAGGATGAATGAAGATACGATTTTTAAGTTGCATCGAGATTCTAATCACTACCATTTCTAACTTTTTAATTGCACTAAAGTATAGCTTGGCAGGGGGGTGGGCAGGGCAGGGCAAGGGAAGGAAACGTTA